GGTTTGTCCCTTCTGGGCTGCCGTAGAAACACGGTGGTTCAACAAGAGAAACAGCTCATTCAAAGGTTCTTATCTTCAGGTGATTACACACTAATGAAAACACACCTGTGAACATTATATTCTCCCAGTAGCTCCTCCTTAATGTCACACACTGGAGTGGAAACTGATCTCTACAAATTGATCTAAAATACTTAAAAATGAAGTAATCACCTCCTGTGAGGACGGACTGCAGCAACTGCTCGAGCGGCGAGTGGACGGACGGTTTTCTGGCTCCAGATCAGAAAACGATGCGGCGTCGGTTTGGTTGGTGATTATGTTACTATAATAAGGACTGGCTATGCATTCTGGGTAAATTAAGGCATCAGGTTGGAGTCTTTGGGCAAATGAAAGCGACTGATGATTTCCTCATAAAAATGTACGATTTAGGTCCTTTATTAAATATTATTATCCTGTTATTTACAAAGAACTTGTATCGTTTTGTAGAGATCAGTTGGTGTTTTCTGTTGATCTTAAACAGCCTCATCAAATCTACTTTGATTCAATGCTGTAAAACAATGAAACCTGAAGACTTTTCCGAGGCAGGTCAGTTCCCGTTACAGCCGCTGTAACGCCACTGGGGTCAGACAGGAAGACCTCCGTGACAGATGATCCTGCTCGGAGCTTCCTCAGGCCCCAGGCGGCCTCTGGAGCCGACGGTGGTTGGATGCATAGGTTTGACTTGAGGAATGCTACCCCGCCTGGCACGGCACAGTTTTTTTCGGGCTCTTTCGAAGTGCAAACGGTTGGAGGGAGATGACGGAGGAGGACTGGGCTGTGAGATGAAAAAAAGAAAAAAGATGAAGCTCCAACGACTCCTAGGAGATGATCTCCAGGATGTAGAAGACCAGCTCCATGACCACCGGGCCCTCGCTCAGCTGGCACGCTCCGCCGTGGATGACGGGGATCAGAGCGCTGTCCAGGTCGCTCAGGTACTGAGGCAGGAGGGGCTGGCCGTTGCTTCCCGCCAGGTAGCCCACCTGAAACGATGAAGACAGGTGTTACAGTCCACAGAGGATGGGTGAGCGGTGCGTGGCGGCTGCCTGCGGTGGTCACACAGAGCGCCACTGACTGGACCCTCAGAGTACAAGGGACCATTTAGATTCTGTGGATCTGGTCCCTAAAATCTGTTTAACCTTCAGTAATCAGTATTTCTAAATAAAGTAATGATAAGAGTTTATTTCAGACTGAAGTTTGTTGAATAAAGTACAATTCTGCATTAAACCAGCTTAAACGAAAACCTTTTTTTTTTATGTCCACACTTGTATTCTTCGTTTTCTTGACTTTGTAACTTTACATTGTTCTTCCGCCTTTAAAGATCTTTGTTTTAAAAGATTAGAAAAACGTTTGTGTGCTGATCAACTAATAAAAAACAAATGATTTCATTCATTAACTGGCAATAATCTATAATTACCCACCAACAGTTGCTGCTCTGGCACACTGTCCCAGTTTCTTTCTACAGTCTGGATGAACAATAATCTGGATCTACCTGGTCGGAGTCCAGTGTGACCCTCAGTCCGAGTTTGGCCATCCCGTCCTCCTTCAGCAGCTTCAGGTGAGGACACAGTGCCATGCAGAAAGCTCTCGCCACGTTCTCCGTCAGCCGGCTGTGGTCGGCCGGGTCGCTCAGACCGTTGGGTTGATCTTCACTCTGGAGGAAAAACACCTGAGGGAGTCACAGAAACACAAAGTTTAAATGTACAGAGCACACAGCACGACACACTGAGAGGATTAGATTTAGTTGTTTTAATATTTAATCAAGATTAAATAAGAATTATGATTTTTGTGAAAGAAATAAAGAGATGAAGTGTCCTTATGGTGTCAAGTGTGGTGAAACACAGTACTGTACTGTACAGTTCAAATTCCCTTTATTTATAATTCCCTGATGCGACACATTGTGAGGTGTGATTGACGTACTCATACATATGGATGGGAATTGAAATCTATTTCTAAATTGTCCAATCAATCGTAATCAAAGCCTTCAAACATATCAGTTCCTTTCATCAATGCCGACACAAAACAATGACCTCAAACTCAAGTGTCTACGCTCTTCTGGAAACAAGGAGTAATAACAGAGAGGAACAAACTACTTTAACTTTACTGTGTTCAGACTCCGAGACCTACTGAGGCCAACTGTTCTCCACACTGACTGATTCTATAATGATACTGTATCAATAACAGCTGCTGATACGCAGTGAAGCGAGCAGTATGAGCGTCGGGTGTATTGTACCTCAGTCCAGCGGATGACTTTGCCGTTGGCTTTGAACTCTGAGCCGTGGAAGATCTTGACGCTGGTGATGGACTCCATCGACTTCCCATCGATCGGACTGATGACGCTGAATAACCGAACACAGGAAACAACAGCGCTCAATGAAACAGAGCGTACAAGTGATTGTAAAGCAGATGTTAAAGCAGGAGGAGGGAAACAGTAACAGTACCGCCTATAGGAGAGCTAAAGACGATGTTCTTTCTCTTCTATTCTATTGAGAACAAAAATAAAGTGCAGTTGGCCTGTGGAGAGACCACGAATGCACCAATCAGACGAGAAGACTGAGTTAACTCATCTGGTGGAATAAGGGTTAAAACCGGCGGCTGTGGAGAGAATATTCTGCTAATGAAGTGATAGAGTATCTGGCGAAAGGCCTCAATTATATTTAATAGTGAAAAGTCACATTTAAATGTTGAAGATTTTATCAGACTGCTGTAAAATTGATCGCGTTGGTCTGTATCTCGAAGACACGTCAAACCACATCATTCCACCCTGCTAAGAGTTTTCTCCAGAGGGCTTCCCCGAGCATGCATAATGAGTTTTTATAGCAAAGTAGTAAATGCAGCGTTTGGGAAGCTATCAGTTCAATTGTCCGTGACACAAACGCATCTCTTCCCGCTCCCTCGTCTGTTGGCGGAGGTCTCGTTCTCTTCCCGCCTCACCCCTTGTTGAAGTTGTGGTCGTCCTCCGTCCACTGGATGTGGACGAGCTCCTGGTTCTCCTCCTGGTCGGCTTTACCACACGTGACGGTGAAGTCCTTCATGTCCCTCAGGGCTTGCCGTAGAGAGTCCATGGTCTCCGCTGTGATCTGGATCATCACACCGTCTAAGAAAAAGATCCATGACGATGATTAATGCTGAAGGAAATAGCATATTGATCTAGAAGCTGATAGATGGAACATTACTAGACAATTATGATAAATTATGAATTGATTAGGACAAACTGCTGCGTTTATTCATGAAGATCAGTTTACATCTAATGAGGATGCTGCTGTCAGGGTTGAACTTGGAGACATGTTAACAGAAAGCCAGTTAAAAGGAGGCAGTGGGTGAAGTAACTGGGCATCTAGCAGTGAAGATACGGGATTGGCGATCTAAATGAACACGTCCAGCGGGGTGCTGGTAATGGGACCCCCGACCTGGGAATGAGGACGGGCTCTAACGTGTGTAAGAGTGAGATCTACAGCCGCTGTTTGGTTTGTCTGCTCTGAGCTACTGTAGAAACATGATGGTTCAACAATGCAGACTCCACAGAAGGCGAGCGGATTCATGTTATTCATTGCATATTCTTGGTATTCGTGGTATTATAGGAAGTGAAGAACGAACATTCAGCAATTTGGGGCTTAAACCATAATGGGAACCAAAAGTCAGGACATCTCAGCCTCTGCTGCACACGTTTAGACCATTTCGTTTAAGTCTGTCTCTTGTGAGACGTCCAACTTTATGGAAGTACAGAACTGAATCAGTGTAATAAACCTTTGAGCCATTCATCAAGCAGAAATATCAAACACTCAGGTTTCAGCTGTTCACATGTGACGATTAAGTCGGTCATTTCTGGTTTTTTCTTGTCCGTAGAAATTGAATGTTACCTTTGGACTTGTGATGGGGTACTACACCTACTACTACTACTGCTACACCTGCTGCTACTTACTGCTACTACTACTGCTACTACTGCTACACCTACTACACCTACTACACCTACTACTACTACCACCATAATTGTCAGCTGCAGCTAGCAGTTAAAAATGTGGATAAAATTCTCTATCACAGTATATGTAAATGATCTTGATATCTATAGTTTATCATGATAAAGTCTGTAATTCCAGTGTATTAAATAACCTGGCAAAATCAATTTACTTTGCACAAAAGCTCCAACTCCTAGTTTCAGCACTAATTATGAATTTGTGCCAACATGGGCAAATAGTCGATGTGTGCATTGAGACCTTTGTGAGGCAGCTTCATACAAATAAACTCATTTCAGCATTTACAGCCGACATGTAGTTTGTTTTCACAGTTCTCACCTTCCACAATGCTGGTCTTGGCTAAGTAGCCCGACGAGGGTTTCAAAGCACCACTGAACACAAAGAAGCAGGCTCCAGTAACTGTAAAAAATACAAAGACAAAGGAGGAAAAATAATAAGTTCGACTTCACAAACCAACCACTGACTAAAGTCAACAGTCAGTCAGGAGGATTTCCAGACAAACACAGCTCTCAGACAACAAGCCGGACTAGAAAAGCAGACAGAGTGAGAGATAAAGGAAGTGTGATGAATCCGTTTCTGCGGCAGCACCTTTGCGAGGCTGGTGATGGATGCTGATGGCCTGCGTCTGGTAGTTCCCGTCGTCGTTTTGGACGCACACCAGGTGGGAGTCGGCGCGGTCGTTGAAACACGCCCCCATCGCCAGCACGTGTTCGTTGGACTTGTTCATGGCCTTCATCAGCTGCAAGGACAAATAATATCCATGTCTAATTAAGCTGCCCTTTGGGTGTGTGTGTGTGTGTGTGTGCACTGAGGAAAATGGGCTTAACAGAGACTGCCTGGTTAAGCCTAATTGCAGTGGGCTCGTGGGTAAAGTCATCGAGTTAAATGGGATGGCGCTGAGATGACAGATTGCAAAGAAAGACACTGACATGGGTGGATATCAATAGTTGAAAGATCCCACATATTAATTCCGCTAAATCCCCTGCCTCTGCGTCTCTTTGAAGCCGTCCTTTTCTCAATCAGAAATAAAACTGAAAATCTGGAGGGCTTTAACCACTTGCTGCGCTGAAGGCTCGCCTGCAAGCTGTTGAGAAACGGTCCCCACTTCACATTACTGGGTTCCCATCTGTTACTGCATCAGCAGCCAAACGCTACAACCGGCGCCGCTCTCTCTCCGCCGCGGCTTTCTTTCTCGGCCAAATGGCGCTTCGTGCGTATCACTTCTTCTGGTTGGACATTCTTTCACACCCTCGAGGCAGCGGCGTTATAACAAGTCGGCAGCCCACGCCTAACGTTCAGCTGCAGGGACCCCTGGAGAGTTTGTCACACATCACCTACACAGAACGAACATGTGTGCGTTGATGTTTCAGGCAGCTTAACAGGAGCCTCCTCCACTGAGGTCATTAGTTTAATTTTGCTAGACAAATGATGTATGGGTGGGCAATATAGGAGACACAGCTCTGCTTGTGGTTTTTTACTGTTTTCTTTCTCTCTTGTACAGTGTTTAT